TGATTTACTGGCGTTAGTTAATAGATGAAAAAAAAAAATGCCATGGCTGATTGGTGATGGGGGAAAAAAAGTGTGTGTAAGAGCACTTCTGGACACAAAAAGAGAACAACAAGAGGTCGTGGTCCACATTGGCACCAATGACTTAGGTAGAAAAAGGACTAAAGTTTTGAAACCAGACATTGGGATGCAAGGAAAGAGATTGAAAAGTAGGATATCTAAAGCAGTAATCTCAGGTTTACTCTCAGTCAGGGCAGGGATAGAAATCATGGCCCTTGGGTGTTGCTGTTGCTGCTAGCCTGATCTCTGGACCCCAAAAAGTAAACCTCCTGGAGCACACAATACTGTGGGTATTGGGCCCTGAAGCATCCCTCTGTCCCGGGCCCTTTCAGTCCCATCATAGAAATAGGAGAAGGGAGTAAGTGAACACATGGCTGGAAAGCCAGTATAGGAGAGGGGACATTAGATTTCTGAGGCCATCAGACTGGGTATGGGGAAGGTGGGACCTGGATGGTCTACATCTGAACATGCTGAAGCAATTATCCTCACAGACAGACTTGCTAGTGCTGTTGGGGAGGGTATAAACTAGTTAGGCAGCGGAATGAGAATCTGAAGGCAGGTTGAGGTAGGGCGAATTCAAAAGGAGGTTGCAACAGGCAGAAAGTTGGCGAGGGCTCTGAAAGACGCAGGAAGCACAGTAATTTGGCAGTTCTACACGTTTACTTGTAACTGCAAGGGGCATGCAAATATATCCAATGAGCTGAGATACAATGACAGAAATTGCTGGAAAAAACTCAGCAGTTTGGCAGTACCTGTGGAGAGAAAGCAGAGTTAATGTTTCGGGTCCAGTGACCCTTCTTCAAAACAATGAGCTGAGAACAGACAGACAAAAAGGGGCTTATTATCGTTGATATAATGAAAACTTGGCTTAAAGAATATCCCTGGATATAGTGGTTTTATGACAGGTTAGAGGAGAACATAAAAACAGTTGGGGGTGTAGCAGATATTTTTAGCTAACCTGTTCAAGTCACTTTATGACACATTTCTGGAGCAGGTGGGGCTTGAACCTAGGTCTCGTGGCTCAGACAAAGAGACTTGAACACTACGCCACAAGTTGCCATTGGAGATGTAGCAATCACAGCTGTGAATCATCAAATTAGGCCATATAGGTTGACCTCAGAAATAAAAAAGGGGCATCCACACCGCTCAAAGTGTACTATAGGCCCCCAAATAATGGGAGGGAAGTAGAAGAATGTATATACAAATATATAGGAAAATTTATGAGTGCAGAAACAACAGGGCGATAACAGCTGGGGGGGTTTCAACTATCCTAATGTCAACTGGGACATGAACATCATGAAAGGAACAGAGGGCAGAAAATTCTTGAACAGCATTCAAGAGAACTTTTGTAATGAGCATGTAACAAATCCAAATCTAAAAGGGGTACAATTTTAGATTTAGTTTTAGGAAAGGAAAGGGGGCTGGATAAGTGGATGAAGTAGCAGTGGATCTCCATTTTGAAGACTGACCATATTACAGGTAGATTTAGCACCATTATGGAAAAGGCCGAAGATAGAACAGGAGTAAAAGTTCTAAATTAGGAATAAAAGTTCTAAATAGGGAGAAAACACATCTTACAAAGCTGAGAGGTGATCTGGCAAAGGTGGACTAGATACAAGTACTTGAAGGAAAATCAGTGCGAGGCATTCAAGAGCAAGAGTACATGACCCATATAAAGTACTGTACTTCCAAATGTAGAGCTCCTTGCTTATCCAGAATATAGAATAGAACAGAATCCCTACAGTATGGAAACAGGCCCTTTGGCCCAACAAGTCCACACCAACACTCAAAGCATCCCACCCAGACCCATCCCCCTAATCTACACATCCCTGAACACTACAGGTAATTTAGCATGGCCAATCCACCTACCCTGCACATCTTTGGACTATAGGAGGAAACCGGAGCACCCGGAGGAAACCCACGCAGACACGGGGAGAATGTGCAAACTCCACACAGACAGTCGCCTGAGGGTGGAATCGAACCCGGGTCCCTGGCGCTGTGAGGTTGCAGTGCTAACCACTGAGCCACCGTGCCGCCCGCATAGGACGGGATAAGATAAAGTTGAAAAAGAAAGCTCATGACAGTCATTTAAAAAACCTAGTACTGTAGAAAGCACAGGGGTGAATTTTTAAAAATTAGGAAAGCAACGAGGGAATATGGGCAAGTAAACTCAAGAAAAACTCAACAATGGTTTCAGTACATTATGAGCAAAAGAATAACTGAAAAAAGTGTAAGAGATGCAGAAGGTAACTCATGTGTGGATGCAGAAGGATGAGGGCTGGGTTCTTAATTTACATTTTGTCCATCTTAAGAAAGGTGACAAGACAATGCAGAACTCCTAGTTAAAGAGGAACATGAAATATTAACAGAATGCGAGACAAAGATTAGAGGGACTAACGTCCTTGAAGGTGAATAAATCACCAGGCTGAAAGGATTGTATCCCTGGCTGCAAGGGGAAATGAGGGACTAAATAATGGATGTTCAAGGATCATTTCTGAATCCTCATTAGATAGAGAAGAGGTACCAGAGAACTGGAGGTCTGCAAACATTGCATCATTGTTTAAAAGGAGTACCAAGATAGGTCAAAGAATTATAGGCCAGTCAGTTTAACACTGGTGGTGGGCAAATTATTAGAAGAATCAATTCTTAGAGACAGAATAAACTGTCACTTAGAAAGTCATGGATCAAATCAGGGACAGGCAGCATGGTTTTGTTAAGCAAAGTTTTTACTAATTTAGTGATTTTTAAAACAAGTAACAAAGGATGAATTATGAGAGTAGTGCAGTGGATGTTGTCTAATGGATTTTAGTAAGGATTTGACAAGACGTCATATGACAGACTAGTCAGAAAAGTAAAAGTCCGTGGATAAAAGGGGACGGGGCAAAAAGGATCCAAAATTGGCTCACCAATAGAAAACCAAGGGTTATAGATTTTGCGAATGTAAAGTAGTCTCCAATGGAATTCTTCAGGGCTCAGTCCCTTGCTGTTTGTTGTACATATTATTTATTTAGATTTAAATGTCAGAGGCATTATTGGAAAATATGCAGATGACATATCTCGTCAGATAGTTGTTAATGAAGAGGATAGCTGAGAGCTGACCTTATTGAAATATATAAGATTCTTAGGGGTCTTGACAGTGTAGATGCAGAGAGGTTGCTTCCACCTGTGGGAGAGTCTTGGAGAGAGGGTATAATCTCAGAGTAAGGTTTCATCCTTTGAGGACAGGGGAGCAGGACTTCCTTCTCTCAAAACATAGTCATCTATGTAATTCTACACTGCAGACAGCTGTAAAGTTTGGGATGGTAAGCATAATCACAGGTGAGACAGACAGACTTCTAATCAGTGACAGAATCTGCAGTTTTGGGGAAAAAAAAGCAAGAAAGTGGAGTTGATGATTATCAGATCAGCCATGATCTCTTTGAATGTTGGAGCGGACTTAAAGGGCCAAATGGCTTAATTCTTATGCTAACCTCACATTGATATCAATAGTTTAGACAAGGGAATGAGAAAGAGGCAAACAGAGTTTGGAGAAATGTGAGGTAATGTATTCAGGGAGGGCAAACAAAACACGGGATTACATAACAAACAGGGGATATTGAGAGGGAATGAAAGACCTTGGAATGTACGTCCACAGGTCCTGGGAGGTGGCAGGGCAGGTGGATAAGGTGGCAAAGAAAGCAGGTGGAATCTTTTCCTTCTTGAGATAGCTATAGAATACAAAAGCAGGGATGTTATGCTGGATAAAATGCTGTTTAAGCCGTAGTTCAAACTTTATGTACAGATCTGATCATCACATTACAGGAAGAACATTATTGTGGTGGAAACGTGAGGGAGGAGGCTTACAAGAATATTGCTAGGCCTTGAGAATTGCAGGAATGAGGAAAGAATAATTAAGCTAGGGTTGTTTTCCTGAGGGAGACTAAGGGGTGACTTAAATTGAGATGCACAAAATAATGAGGAACTTTTATAGACTGGACAGGGAAGGCTGGTTTCTGCTAGCAGAGAAATCATTAAGCAGGAGCTCAGATTTAAGGTGATCATTACAGGGATTGGAGGGGACATGAAGAAAAACCTTTCCACCCAGGCATGATGCATGTCTGGATATTATTGCATGGGTTCAGACGCAGAGGCAGAAACTCTCAACTTTACTTAAAAGGGTACATGAAGTTGCATTCGAAGTGATGTAGTTTCTAAGGCTATGGACCAGGTTCTGAAAGGTGGATTAGAATGGGTTGTTAGCTGCATACGTGACAGGCTGATTGGCCCTTTCCGTGCCATAACTTCTCTCTCTGGCCACATTATCCATGCCTGAAGTATTCATCTTGCATGTGCATTCCCGTGCCAAAACCACCTGAAAACAGAATGGTGAGTTTGTGTCGTTATTGATGCACAGATTGGCTGGGATGTTCAGGGAAGAACATGAGTGGAACTCCCCAATACTTGCTCATCCATTTATGCTGTTTCAGCTCATGGACAACAATTTGCCTTCAGCCTCCCAGGAACCTCCCTCACATGAATATGCAAGGAATGGAGAGATATGGACCAAGGCAGGCAGAAGGGATTAATTTGGTGGTATGTTTGACACAGCACTGTGGGCCGTTCAGTTCTATGTTCTATTTGCATGTCAATTACCTACACAACACTGAACCAGAGTGCTATCCTAGCCACCTGTGTTGAACGCGTTTATCCTCAAAGGGATTTTGAGGGCAACTCAGTGGAGCCACATATTAAAGGTTTGTTCTGTCTAGTCAGATACAATCAACAGAAGAGTGTAATGAGGACTTTGCTCTCAACCTGTGCTTCATCTGACTCGGAATGGTTTGACACCTAGCCTTAAAGTCTTATTGAAAAAGCCTGCGATTCCCAAGATGATACCTACCAGGTGAGAGCTAGATTCATGTAAGTATTTTACAAACAGGTGAGGCAGCACAAGACCAGCTTACATTTAAGAACTTTTCATACTGAACAGCTGACTCCATGGTATTGCTGGAATAATCCAGTGTGTCCTTCCAGGAGTGCATGAGAAACGCCAAACGCAGCTGTCGACCTACAAGCAAATGGCACCAGTCACACCACAACAGCAGAGAATCAGAGACACCAGACTGACAAGTACAAGCCAGTTACAAAACAAAAACTTATAATTTCATCAACAGCTTCTCTTAAATTATTGCGACTTTTATGGGGAATTTAATAGTAGCTTACCCCATAATTTTACCAAGTTACACATCACCCATGAATAAATCAAATATGCCTGTAACATTATATTTGCAAAGAACCTGCACTGCCTACTGGCATATTTTTGTGTTCCCTCAGCAACGTTTTCCCTTCCAAAGATGGTATTTTATTACGATTTCAAGATCCTTGACACTCCCTGCGACTTTGCTCAAGTCATGACACACGTGAGTCTTGACAGTAAATATTCACCAGCAACTTGAAAACACCCGGAAGAAAGTCAAAACACTATATTTTTATATATGTGATCATGGGATCTGGGCTTCACTGACAAGGGCAACTTTGAGAAAGCACCGCTGAGCCATGTTCTAGAACTACTACATGCATATACTGGATGCTAACCAAGCAAACCTGTGTTCATGTAATAGATCAACACTTTTCAACGTTTTTGAAACTTACTAATGTAAGTGTGTAGGTGCAACTGACGTTTTCCCAGCCACCATCAGTTCTGAGGAAGGATCACTGGACCCAAAATGTTAAAAAATACAGCATCTGCAGTTCTTTTGGTTTTTACTACAGTCCACGTTGGGTAAAAACATCCTTGGTGCTGTAAGAAATGGAGGTCCACATTCTGGAGCGAGCAGCAATTAAGGAACTGGAAAGTAGGTTCAAGTCAGAACAGCGCGTAATTTGGAGGGGAATGTGCACATGGTATTGCTCCTATGCACTTATGTTAGCAAGTTTCAAAGATGTTGAAGTGCTGATCTATTACATGAACACAAGTTTGCTTGATTAGCACCCAATATAGTCAGAAAGCACATTTGCAAAACAGCGTACAAAACTCTCGATTTAGCCCACAACAGCTGCCAAGGAAGCTGTCTTGAAGATAAGATTGAACAGTTCTATTTGTTGCTGGAGAGACCAAACGAGTTACAATGATTGAGACAACGGACTCTGATTACCTGTATTTGCATTCAGTGCGTCTTTGATGGTTATAAAATTTTTTAAAGATTTTGACATCTTGCAACCTGCTATGGTCAGGTGTCCAGTATGGAGGAAGTATCGAACCCAGTGGTCATTTTCAAAATAAGCCTGTGGGGAGATGATGATGGGGGAGCACTAAAATAAGAAGTTTGTAACATGACAACAACAACTAAGTACTATGATATCATCCACATCCAATGCCCACAGCCAGAACTTTGAATTCAACTTACATCAGAGAAAGGGGCTATATTGAAGCCAATACCACTCAGGCATTTTTCTCTCATGCTTACTTTACAAAGATTTCAAATTTGCCCTCAAGTTGATGAATTTCAGTGCTACATAATGGAACACTCTCCTTACTGAGCAACAAGAATCAGCATCAGGCTTCAACTAAAGCCTAGGACTAGATTCAGAATGAAGCTCCCTCCGTGCTGTTAGTACAAAAATACTCTCAGTTCAATTCATACGCACGCTGCAGCTCTTTCTACTTTGTCAGAATACAGCTTGGCATCAAGCTCAGGGAAAAAACCTTGAAGTACACCCGCATTATATTTTTACACAAGCTGTTCGGTGGCTTCTCTGAAATTGTGAACACGATAGCATGGCTTCAGAAATGTTTTGAAACTGCCCCAAATTAATTTCACGGGCCCTTCAAATATACAAAAGTTTTTTTTTCAAAAAAAAAAAATCCGTGCTGTGGGTCTCACTGGTCATACCCAGGTGGCTCAGCCTGACCGTGCTCACCAAGGCCAATTTAATAACTTAGTTCTGTGCTTGATTCCAAAGGGAATATTCATGAGTTTATGCTTTTAAAAAGCGAGCAAGCAACAATGACAGAAGTTGCAATTGTACCTCAGACTGGGCCAATTCATTGTCATGATGAGGGAATCGCAGGTCAAATCCTCCACCATGGATGTCCATGGACTCTCCTAGGATGCTCCCAGCCATCGCCGAGCATTCAATGTGCCACCCAGGGCGGCCCTGTCAGGATAAGCATGAACAGGAAATTGGAGAGGAATCAACAATAAACATTACAAATTGTTATTATCAATGACATAGCAAGTACATGAGTAGATGCTTACAGACAGAAAGATGACTCAGGGAAGACAGATAAATCCACGATTTGCCAGCCTAATGGCAGTGATGGGAAAATTTTAGAGACAATAACTTGTGACAAAAGTAATCAGTACTTTGACTATGGGCCAAAAAATAATGAAAGCACAGGTGTTAAAGACAAAATGTATGTTATAAATGTGATAAAGAACTAGAAGTAGTTCAAAAAGGATACAGTAGATAATTTATTTATGGACTTTCAATAGGACATTGACAAATACTGCATAACAGATTTGTAAACAAATATAAAGTCATTGGGATTTCAATGACACTGGCAGTAAGCATACAAAATTACATAACTGACAGAAAGCAGAGAATGTCCTTCCCCTGTGTTACCAATACACCACTGCTTTTATTGGCACATAATTAATTAAGTAGGAACAAAAACAGAAGTTGCTGGGAAAGCTCAGCAGGTCTAGAAGTCTGTGAAGAGAAAATGAGAGTTAACTTTTTGAGTCCGGTGACCTTTCCTAAGATGATGCTAATTAAGTAGACTTGATAATAATTTTGAAGCTTACGTATGTCAAAAAAAGAACTCAAATGTAGTAAAAAGGAAGCCAGGAACATTCTTCAAAATAAGGGGATCTCAATCTGTCGGTCGCAAGAAGAGATTCTGGGTCCATAGTAGCACAAGGTGCCATGGAGTTCTGACTGTATGTTAACAGCTTCCTTTAATTTCTCATGTATTTTGAATGATGGGGAGAGGGTGGCCTGAATGACTGGTCATTGAGGCCTGATTTCTGCTATAAAAAAGCAAATGAAAAAGGTACTTGCTTACATGCAGATGGAATTTAATGCACAGAAATGCAAACTGATATATTTTAAGAAGAAACAGCAGCAATATGAATTAGGTTGTACAATTTTAAAAGAGGGTACAGAACAGAGAACCTTGGAGGTGGACAGAAGAAACATTTAAAGGTGACAGTACAAGTTGACAAAGCTTATTAAAAATAAAGAACAAGGAATGCTTAACTCTATTAATAAAGAAAGTGGTACAGAAGCCAAGAAGTTTTGCAGAACCTTTGTGACACATAGATTAGGTCTCATCTGGAGTAGTGCTTTTTTTCAGGGTATCAAAATTGTTGAGCAATGTCAAGGCCTTGACAAGAATGTAGAAGTGACTTATTGGAACTTACAAGGGACGAGCAACTTAATTATGTGGAGCGAAACTGAAGTTGTCCACCTCAGAACAGAGAAATTTAAAGTAGATTCAATGCAGAAGTTTCAAACCAGAAATACATGTGATAAAATAATTAAGGACAAACTGTTTCCAATGAAAGAATGATTGGTAACCAGAGGACACAGATTTAAGTCAATAGGCAAAAAGACTGAAGGCAAAGAATCTTCGGATACAACAAATTATAACAATCTGGTTGTAATGCTTAAATAACCTTCAAGCAGGTTCAAAGCCATTTTTAAAATGAAACTAGGTAAAATATTTGAAGAGAATAATTTACAAGGTTATAGGGAAGAGCAGGATAGTAGGATTAATTGGATGGCTCTTTGGATAGAAAGCATGATGCACCGAATAACACCTTACCATGTTGTATTATTTCGTATGTTAATCCTGGATAATTATACTGGAACAGTTGTCGGGGAGATGTGGAATGAAAAGTACAACAATGTTTGGTGACATATTTTAGTTGTCTCTCTAGACCTGAACCTGGTGGACTGTTAGTCGCCACACATGGGGTGGATTATTCTAAAGGCATTTTAAAATTCAAATTCCTTTGTCAACTGAACTTCATTTTAAAAAACATGGTTGGATTCTGCCATTCAATCTCCAATTTGACTATGTAACTGAGCAACGAAGTGTGCAGGATTGATGCTTTCTCCTCACCTTTCCCCAGGGCGAATCCCAAGATGGTTCTCCAGGCTTGGAGGCTTTCCACAGTGCAAAATCATTGGGAGAGTGCTTCTCACTTAATCGATCAGCTGAAATACTAAGGTCACCTAAGAAGTCAAGAATATTTTCCCATCACATCCATTAGAAAGCGATTTGAATGGTTTGATTTTTTCCAAGTGATAGTCTCTCACTCACTGACTTTATTTTGGAGTGGAGTTCCAAGAACATTGCATGGATTTTTAACAAGCTTGGTGAATCGACTAAACATCGTGTGTGCCGATGCAGTGAGTTTGTCACCTATTCGCTTGCAAGGTATCACAGGCAACAATCTTTTCCGCCAACAAGTTTCCTGAAGGAATCACAGCACGGCAACTAACAGTCGGAGCTCTGATTGATATTACTCCTTAACCCGGAAACAAATAGGAACAGAAGTAGGCCATTCAGCCCCTTTGCCATATAATGAGACCATCCAATAATCCTCAACGCTATTTTCTTGCTTTTGCCCCAGAACCCCCGATTCCCTCACTAATTAATAAAACTTCTCTATCTCAGCCTTGAATATACCTAATGACCCAACCTCAACCACCCTCTATGTTAAAGAATTTCCCACATTCACAACCCTCAGAGAAGATATTCGTCCTCGTGTCTTAAATGCGTAACCCCTTATTCTGAGATCATGCCCTCTAGTCCTGGATGCTCCCACTAGTGGAAATAACCTTTCCACATTTACCCTGTCAAATCCTATAGGAATCTTGTATATGTCAAAAGATCACTTCTCGTATTTCTGTATTCCAACAAGTGCAATCCAATCTACTCAACATCTCCTCATAAAACAGTCCCTCCATACCTGGTATCAGTCTAGTGAATCTTCTCTGGATTGCCTCTCATTCCTGTATATCCTTCCTTGGATAAGGGGCCCAAAACTATTCAGTGTTCCAGCTGTGGTCTGACTACTGCTTTGTATAGTTTTAGAAAACCTCCATTGCCTTTGAAATAAAGACCAATTTTCCATTTGCCTTATCCACTACCCAATGAATTTGGATGGCAGCTTTTTGTGATGCTTGGACGAGGACTCCCAAAGTTTTCTACAATCTTTCTCCATTTAAATAATATTCAGTTCCTCTTCTTTCTGCCAAATACAAAGCCTCACATTTCCCGACTTTGTAGCCCATCTGCAAAGTTTTTTGCTCACTCACTTCGCTTGTCTATATTCCTCTGCAGACTGTGTGTCATCCTCACTGTTCCCCTTCTCACCTATTTTTATGTCAGTCACAAACTTGGCTATTGTACACTCACTTTCCACATCCAAATCATTAATATATGTTGTAAATAACTTGGCCCTAGCAGTGATCTTCAGGGCACACAATTGGTTACAGGTTGCCATCCTGAAAATGCCCCCTTATCCCAACTTTCTGCTTTCTGTTAGTTAGTCACTCCCCTATCCATGCTAATATACTACCTCCAACACCATGCCGAATGTGAGGTATCTTATCAAAAGCCTTCTGAAAATCCAAATATATTACATCCACTGCTTCCCCTTTTTTCTATACGGCTTGTTACTTCCTCAAAGAATTTTAGTAAATTTGTTAGGCATGATTTCCCCTCCATGAAGCCATGCTGACTCTACTTTGTCATATTTCTAAATGGTCTACTATTATAGCCTTTATAAAGAGACCCTAACTTTTTCCTGACAAACTACCTGGCCTATAGTTACTTGTTTCGTGTCTCCTTCCCTTTTTAAATACATGAAGAATCTGAAAGATTCACAGGCCCAATGAGTTCTGCATTTACAGAGTAAACACTGAATATCCAAGCCTTTCTTAAGACAAGGTGTGAAAACTGAAGGATACAAGAAAACACTGCAGTGTGTGTAGACAGAATTCTCAAATCACTTTACCTCCAACTTATTAAATTCCATCCTTTCCCAACTTTCATTTCTCTTTAGAACTTACAAACCTTTTTGTCAAACAACATAATATATTTTCATCTTCACTCTCCTATGCGAAATCCAAGAAACACCAACAGTCCAATTTTCTTCTGCTATTGTAGAGAGCAACACTATCCCAAGACCGAAATAAGCTCAAATGTGTTACCAATCAGATTTCCTGTTATCCTGAGTTTCTAGGTAATTCAGTAAACTCTTATGCTTATCTCAGTTCGAGTCCTAATTCTTCAGAATTGTACTTTCTGACTGCTGTGACAGAACAACACATAATAAGCCATCTTTAATGAGTCATTGCTGACTCTAACTATAGACTGGGCTAGAAAAGGCTAAAAGAAAAGAAAAATCTCACTCCAACAACTAAATCAGTCAGTCTCAAAAGTGCACAAGAGATTGTCAGCAAAAATAAAAATACGTGGAATTGAAAAATGACTGCACTTCAAAACATAATTAAATGATTATGAAGCACTAGGGGGATTCTGTGAGGATTTAAAAGGCATCCAATGCAACAAACCTCTTTCCTTCTAGGTTCAACCTAACCTCAGTAGACTTGCAGCTTGCTGTTGTGTTTATAAGAATTATGGAAGCTCCTCACCATAGGTATGTTCAAGCATCTGAAATAATTCTTGTGACGCCAAAGACTTTTAATCGTTACACAGCGCAACAATTTTTACTTGAAGTATGAAAGGATGTGTGTGTGTATATGCACCAACTGACCCGAACAAGTGTATCTTTGGCTAGACTTCTCACCTTCTCCTTCATGCAGTGCTTTCTGGTCTCCAACAGCCTCAGGCACCAATTTGGCATATGAATGCTTCTCACTGCTGTCAAATTTCACCGTGTCAAAGTATACCGAACCATTGGAGACATATCTGAAGGAACATAAACCATACACATTCAGCATGAGAAAGGTAATGTTTCTTTGCCCCAGGAGCTGATACTCCCAAGCCCGCATAATAACTCCTCAGTACAATCTATTCAAGCACAGTTCTCATCAGCAGATCCCATTCTGCACTCTTTCGTTCCAAATGTCTTACCCTACACATACTATCTAGTGAGTATTGCCCTCCTAAGTTCTTTGTATAGAGAAATAGCCCTCTTTCCCTTGTACAGTCTTTGTATTGGGACACCTCATCATCCTTATGAGTCAAATGCTCTCTGATTCTTCCACCTTCAAGAATCCAATCAATTCACCTTACAAATCAATTCTTTCACCTACAGGCATACAATCAGTCGTATGACCAAACAAACTCAGATCTCAAATAGCCAGGCCAATTGCAACCATTATTCAAGTTCTTCTGCTCCTTCCATTTTTCCCCCTTCCTCATCCCCTTGTGGAACAAAAAAACCCTTCACTCTATCCATCCTCTCTCCAGCCAAGAAAAATTATTCCAAGATCATTTTGTACTCTAACTTGTCTTTTTTCTTGTTTTGCACCTCCTTTGAACTCATCTCCCCTACTTCCTCCATCCTTTTCCATAACCTCTCTTCCACTGTCCACTTATGTGCACCTTTGCATCTGATTTGAGTTGTGCAGAGCCTGAAAATCTCTACAACTGTCCTCATTCTGGTGGAAACTGACAACTTTTAATGCCTGATACTCCATTTGGTGAAAAACAACAGGTTGGAACTGCAAAACGCGATTTCTACTTCCCAATGGTGAAGCATTAGCAGTCCTTTTCTCTGTTGGTCAGATTGCTGGACTACTATGGCACCCAGTAACACTTGGCTGCCACCCTGGCTTTGGGCATAACTGTTCACTCTGAACTTGGCAACAAACTGAGCCTCAATGTACTCTTTTGTCCTGCATTCATTATTGGGTGGCTTCTACTGCAACAAAAGCTCAAGTATCAGCCGTTACACATACCTCATGGTTGGGTCCAGGAGTACTTTACTGAATCACAGAACAGGATCCCTGCTGTGTGGAAGCAGGCCATTCGGTCCAAAGAGTCCACACCCACCCTCTGAAGAATATCCCAGCCAGATCCATCCCCTAACTCCATAATCCTGCATTTCCCATGGCTAATCCACCTAACCTGCACATCTTTGGACTGTGGGAGGAAACCCACACAGACACGGGGAGAATGTGCAAACTCCACACAGACAGTCGCCTGAAGCTGGAATCGAACCTGGGTCCCTGGCGCTGTGAGGCAGCACTGCTAACCACCGTGCTGCCCCATTGAAGTTAGTAAACAATTGTATTCCAGAAAAGAAAGGCAAATTCTGTACAATCTCTATGCAAAAGTTGCTCCCAGCTTTGAAGGCTTCTTAATTTTCTGGCAGGCCTGACATTACACTAAGTATTTTATTGTGCATATCCATTAACCTTCTTTGTAGTCCACCTCCAAAGTGTTCAATCAAATTCTTTGCACTAAACTTGTCTGTAAACCCACTCTCTGAAGAACTGGCACCTGCTGAACCTTCATTTTCTGTTCTGGGTGCAAACCACTTATATCCAATGTCTCACCAGGTGCAGATCTTGCTTCTACTCTACCCACTAAATTTCATGCAGCATCACTATTTCAGCTGGTGAATGCAGCAATGTATGTTCCACTGATAGTTAGCACCAAATCCTGCATGGCAGTAAGGACATGTAGCCATTCCTAATCCCTACTGGTTAGATTCTCTGCCTCCCATTTGGCACCACCTTTCCCTGTAACTTGTAGGGAATTGTATCATCTACTACATTGCCATCTGGGTGATATAGCTGTCGTAACAGGGGCAGTAATGGTGGCTCAATGATTAGCACTGCTATCTCACAGCATCAGGGACCTAGGCTCAATTCCAGCTTCAGGCAACTGTCTGTACAGAGTTTCCTCTGGGTGCTCCAGTTTCCTCCCACAGTCCAAAGGTGTGCAGGTTAGGTGAATTGGCCATGCTAAATATTCTCCAGCTATGTGCAGGTTAGGTGGGTTAGCCATGGGAAATACAGGCTTACAGGGACAGGGGTGGGGGGTGAGTTTGAGTGGGATGCTCTTCAGAGGGTCAGTGTGGACTCGACGGAGCGAGTGGCCTGCTTCCACTCTGTAAGGATTCTATGGATCTAATTGAATAGCTGTCAGATGAGAGAGTGAGACTTGCAGAAATGCTAAATGTGTGGGTGCAGTAAACTTCTTCAATCTGTCCTTACCCCTGATGGTAATTTCTGTTGAACTTCACCCAAAGCTATGATCCTTCGTAAAGTGTGTTGCCTGGAATTGCACCTCCTTTAGAATTACCATTTAATTTCTAGGAACCTCCCCGCATTCTTCCTACTAAAACATATCAGCTTATGGTTTGTGTTAAATTTCATGTGCCATATGCACACGTGCTTCACCTGCCTATATCCTCCTGATGTCAGTTAGTATTCCTCTCATTGTCTACTACACTTAACAAGTTTGTATTATTTGCATATTTTAAAATTACAGCCTGCTCCCTCCAGTCGAGGTTGTTGAACAGGGTGAAAAGTATTTCACCACCTGGGACTGACCCCAAATGGCAAAGCACCTTGGGCTTTTTGTTCCGTGACATAATCATAAATACATTTAAAAGCTGTATTTCAACAACATATCTTCTTGTTCACTGTTTATCCAATCTGATTTAGTAAATAGTTTGTTTGTCCATGTAATGGTTCAAGTTCAATTCATTGTATTTTACAGAAAGATACAAATGTTGCCTGAATAAAGGCTGTAATTTTTTTTAAAAAATTCTTTTTTTAAAATAATTCATTCATGGGATAAGGGCATTGCTGGCTAGGCCAGCATTTATTGTACTGCCCTCATTGCCCAGAAAACAGTAAAGAGTCAACCACATAGCTGTGGGTTTGGAGTCACACACAGGCCAGACCAGGTAAGGATAGCAGTTTCCTTCCCTATAGGAAATTAGTGAACCGATAACCAACAATGGATTCATGGTCACCATTAGATTCTTAATCCCTTTTTTTAAAAATTGAATTCAAATTACATCATCTGCTATGGTGGAATTTGAACCCAGGCCCCCAGAACATTTTCTCTGGATTAACAGACCACCGATAATCAGGTTTTATACATTATATACATATAAAAAGTGACAAATCAGTGACAAATACTTACCCATAACCATTATCAACCACCTGCTTAACAAACTGCACAATCTCAGGAATATACTCACTCACTCGAGTTAAAACATCTGCAGGCAAAACCTGTAGAGAAACCAAAGAAATTTAGAAAGTACTGCATGACGGATGATGAATGGGATATCTGTAACTGAGCTTCAGAAGAGAGTATGAGGGGCAGGGTGCTCCATAATACACACTGTGCAGCACTTACACCCTGGAGTGGAGGTAGGGGAATCCCGCCACCCCCGGACAGGAAACGTGCAAGAAAAAGCTACCCAAATGGAGATTGAATAGAATAAACCAAACTATTTATATTTAACACAAATTTAAATATTTTAGAACACAGGGTAAAAATATAATTCCATAAATCCCAAATTACCCATTTACTTGTAGCAGACAAATTAACTTCTCTACCACTTACAGGGTTTAATTGGACTGTGGCTTCTCTCCCAGTCTTGAGAATTGGATTGCCTCTTCCTAGAGCCATCATACAAGTGCGCTTAATCTTTCTCAACTTTAAATAACCCTTCAGCATTTAACTAAACCCTTCTGGTGTTGAACTTCAATTAAACTCCTTTTACTAAGGTAACTCATTTTTAATAATTCTAAACTATTTTCTCGCTTTCTCAGGAGCAACTGCTTCCACACCCAGCTTCAGGTAAGAATCCTGCAGAACTGACCAGACTGAAACAAAAAAATAACACCTTTCTTCCAAGCTGTGGCTCTTTAACCTAATCCAAAGCAGAACAAAAAGATCAATGCCTGATCTTCTAAATTGTTTACTTTGTTCCATGGTAAAATCTTCCCAAAATAAACAAATTAATTAATCTTTGAGAGGTATTTCTCCCACACTGCTTTAAAAATAAAAATCACTATGGCTACACAAACACTTGCAAGTTGATCATTAATCCCATCAGACACATAGGAACCCATATGCCACTGGTTCACTTCCATAAATCCAAACTCAAAAAAATGATATTAAAATATGTATAAATCATACACCTTATATCATATCTTTAACATAATAAAATGTCCCAAGAACTTCACAGCAACAATATAAAACAAGTATAGAATAGGAGCACACAAGAGAAATGACCAACCACATGGTCAAAGAGATTGGTTTTAAGATGTGTCTTAAAGGGGAAAAGTGGGGTAGGGGCAGGGAAGGATGTAGGAATGGTGTTTCAATGCTGGGGCTTAGGCCACCGAGTGGTTTGACATTTAACTTTTACATTGTGGCAATGAGTGGGTTTCAGACTTGTCCATTACAAGAAAGTAATGATTGATTTTTAGACCTACTCTCGAATAAAGAATATATCCTAAAGACTGAAATAAATTATAATAATTTACCACTACTAAAATAATTATAATTACTTACATTAAGCACAGCCATGTCTTTGTGATATTCTCCCTCCCAGTACTTAGGAAGAGTAGAAAAGATGGAATTGTCAGTCACCTGACTACCAAATTGAACATCTAGCCAATCAGACAACATATCCTTTGAATCATCCAGCAGCACCTGTAAAAGAATACAATCATGACAGTTAAGCAAAGCTGCATTACTAGACACAGCACACAAATTAATAGATGCTGCACTGTTATGGTACAAGGCAAAGGTCACATTGCACCTGAGGTAGAGTTCTGGTCATCTCCACATTTGGAGATGACACAAAGCTGAGTAGGAGGGTCAACTGTAAGGAGGATGCAGAGGTGTTTTGCTGTTATTTGGACAAGTTGAGTGAATGCATGGAAGATGAAATACATTGTGGTTAAATGTGAAGTCATTCACTTTGATATCAAAAACAAATCGGCAAATTATCATCTGAAAGACGATATGATTGTGAAAAGGGGAGCAGCAACAAGACCTAGGTGTCCTTGTATACCAGTTGCTAAAATTAAGCAGGTAGGTGCAAGCAGGTGGTGTAGAAGGCAAATAGTATGTGGGCCTAAATAGTGCGAGGATTGGAGTTCAGGAACAAGAACATGTTGCTGCAATTGTACGGGGCACTGGGGAGTCCACATCTGGTATACTTATTTGAGGAAGGATGTTCTGGCAACAGAGTGCAATGAAGATTTACCAGGCTGAATCCTGGGTTGGCAAGACCAACGTATGGAGAGAGACAGGATAGGTTGGGAGTATATTCACTCGAATTTAGAAAAATGAGCACGGATTTCACAGAAACCTACAAAAGTCTAACAGGACTAGACAGCGTCAAAGCAGGAAAGATGTTCCTGATGATCAGGGGTCACAGTTCAAGCATACAGACTGATAGGAGATAAAATTTCTTCATCCAAAGAGAGTGGTGACCCTGTGGAGTTCTCTTCCCGAGAGCGCGGTTGAAGCCAAAACATTGAATATTTTCAGGAAGGTGTGGGGTGGCACCTTGGCTCAGTGGTTAGCACTGCTGCCTAATAGTGCCAGGGACCTGGGTTCAATTCTGTCCTCAGGCAACTGTCTGTGTTGAGTGTGCACATTCTCACCATGTCTACATGGGTTTCCTCTGGGTGCTCTAGTTTCCTCCCACGGTCTAAAGATGTGCAGGTTAGGTGAATTAGCCATGCTAAATTATCCATAGTGTCCAGGGACATGCAGGCTCAGTGGGTTAGCCATGGGAAATGCAGGTTTACAGAGATAAGGTAGGGGGATGTGTCTAGTTGGGATGTTCTTTGGAGGATCTTGTGGACTCGATGAGCCGAATGACCTGCTTCCACACTGTAGGATGGTTCCATGAGTCAGAAAAAGTTCTTAGGGCTAACCTTAATGCATCAGTTGCCCATTAATTAATATTTGATTTATGCGGTGTAAAAGTGGAGAATTATGCAGCCACATTGACGTGGGAATGTTTTTAAAGAAGTCCATGCGGTGAGTTGTTCAGGCAGCCTGTCCAGACTGATGAAATGAGGTTACAGACCGTAATGGACACAATGGCCTGATGTTCCATGGTGAGGTCATGGTCCAGAGGGAGACAGGAGGAGGTATCTGAGAAGTTGTGTTCAGCCTTTGCATTGTTCAGTTCAGCTCACCAGATAGCAACAGCACCTCCCTTGTCAGCAGGCTTAATTAAAAAGTCAGGGTTTGATCTGATAGCACAGAGCGCAGGAAACTCACGAGGAGGTAGGCTGGAATGGGTCAGGGGCCAGAGAAAATGAGAAACAGAGTGGATATGCTTTCTGTCTGTGGGCTGTAGATGTTTTGTTCTCTATGCCGCTGTTGGCATTTATAGATATAGCAAACGTTGTCTTAACCAGCACCTTAGAAACTGGCACTCTTGATATATAAATTTTATATATATCTCAAACACCGGACGTTTACTGTATTATCATGATCTCCGAGTCAGTTGAGGGTCAGTGAGAAGACTCTCCGCTGTTCAATTTTATTTAAGGCGAAGTTGCATTATTATTCAAGTGATTTATGCTGTAGATAAAATGCAACAGTGACGTGTATATGCCCTGCATTACATTGCTATTACTTAGTGTGTATTTTTACGTTGAATACGTGGGCCTTTTAATCAGTCAGGATATTTGATCAACTAGCACACTCCTGGTCCCATAGGTGTTGGTTTAAAAAAAAAAATTGCTGTATTTCATACTTTGCAGCTCAACCAGAGTGCTACTGCCAAAATGTCCTTAACTCCAACAATATTGATGTCATTCAGTTTACCTAGCAGCTATTTCTGATGTTTCAATGCTTCCCTTCCTATTCCCAACATATTAGTACACTGTGGACCTTGACCTTAACAGAGATGTCTAAATATAGAAACATGTGTGAATCAAGTTTATGAATAACACAGGGCTTAAGTGGTGTTGAGGCTCTAAGTCTTTAAAACTGCCTCATTCACTAGCTTAGCTTAACACTTCACTAATCTACTCAGTGTGTCTCAACTCTCAAACAATATCAAATAGCCACCTCCTTGGTTGTGCCATACCTTAGCTCGCTTGGTAATCTCCCCATTGGAAAGCGCTTGTTGCATTGCTTCTTCCAGGGATTTGACGGATGACTCAACTGCTTGATTAACTCTCTGCAGCATCTGCTTCTTGTCTGGGTCAGTGGTTTCAGCAAGTTTCACAGAGAAAGACTGGAATATGGGAAGCAAGGATGTAAGAAACAGTTCAGAGCAAGATACGACTTTACTGAACAGTCATCGACAGTGGATAAAGTACAGCAAAAAGAAACACAGATTTTTGGTGTCTTGTCTCTAATCGCTTCCACAGAAGTTTTAAAAAAAAAAATCACGTATTCATCCAGGTAATAGGTGACAGTTCTAGGAATTATAGATGATTTATTTTTATTTTTTATAGTATTAGTATTGTTAAGATTAGATTTGGATGTGACAAGTAAAGCACAACTTCTTACTTTTCAGTTACTCCTCTTCTACCCCAACTTGATCGAAACTCCCTGGTATATCCTGCCTAAACTTTCCAATTCCCATCAAAATACTAATGCATCATCAAAACTGGACTGAACCTGTATCCACCACAGCCACTTCATAAATTAATGAACTTGTGCAACTGGAATCAGAGTTCATGCTTCTAAACAATTCAGTATGCACAAACTGTCACGAGAGGTGAGCCAGGATGTTAAAATGAAGGTTAAAAGGAATATCTGAATGATGGAACTGAACTACATAATTTTATGACATCTCATGCAAGTAAAATTAAACACTATTCAAGCTTACAAGTGCTTGAATATTTTCTTAACTTAAGAGATCTGCTGAGATTGTGCACAACCTGGTGTAGAAACAAGGTCAGAAATATCAACTGATAAAGACAGTGTGGTACTGAGTCAAATAGACCGGCATTTAATCTCGTGTAAACCAATCTCAAGTAGGATAGCTGAAGGTTTGACATTGATCTCAGCAACCTACGCCAGCAAACGATGAAAATAAATCTTGTTCCTGAAGACTACCCAGTGACCAGAGTCAGGAACTGTGTATTTTTGTACATTGGACAGCAGGATTGGAACCCAACTTTGCGAACAACACCAGATTGGTGCCATAGTAGACAGTGAAGGAGGTTTTCTAAGGTTACAAAGGGATCTTGATCAAATGGCTCAATGGGCTGGAAAATGGTTGATGGAGTTCAATCATTTTGGTACAACAGATAAGGGTAGGGCCTTGAGTAGTGTTGTAGAATAGAGGGACCTAGGGTTGCAGGTACATAATTCTTTGGAGTTTGCGTCACATAGAGACGGGGTGGCTAAAAAGGCATTTGGCACGCTTGCCTTCATCATTGTTCAGTCGTTTCAGTATAGGAGTTGGGAACTGGACACTGGTGAGGCCTCTTCTGGAATACTGTGTCCAGTTCTGGTCACCTAGTTATAGGAAGGATGTTATTAAGCTGGAGAGGGTTCAGAAGAGATTTACCAGGATGTTGCTGGGTATGGAAGGTTTGAGTTAAAAAGAAAGGCTGGATAGGCTGGGACTTTTTCCACTGGAACATAAGGGGTAGAGAGGTGATCTGACAGAAGTTTATAAAATAATGAAAGGTATAGATAGAGTTAAATGGTAGTTGTCTTTTCCCTAGGATGTGGGATTTCAAGACTAGGGGCACATTTATAGGGTGAAAGGTGGGAGATTTAAAAAAAGCCATGAGGCAACTTCTTACATAGAGGTGGTTCGCGTGTGGAACGAACTTACTGAGGAAGTGACGGATGTGGATACAATTACAACATTAAAAGACATTTGGATAAGTACATGAATAGGAAGGTTTTGAAGCGATATGGGCCAGGAGCAGACAGGTGGGGAGATAGTAGGAACTGCAGATGCTGGAGAATCTGAGATAACAAGGTGTAGAGCTGGATGAACACAGCAGGCCAAGCAGGATCAGAGAAGCAGGAAAGCTGACGTTTCGGGCCTAGACCCTTCTTTTCTGAAGAAGGGTCGAGGCTCAAAATGTCAACTTTCCTGCTCCTCTGATGCTGCTTGGCCTGCTGTGTTCATCCAGCTCTACACCTTGTTATCGCAGGCAGGTGGGACTAGTTTAGTTTGGGATTATGGTCGGCATGGACTGGTTGGACCCAAGGGTCTGTTTCCGTGCTGTATGACTCTACGACTGTCCCTCCAAAGTGGAACATTTTGATGGCAATCACAGTTTAAACATACAACAGTATAAAGCAGTACGAAAACAAGTTGGACTAAGTACAACAGACAGTAAGCCACATCGTGAAAGAGGGGATTAGCATATCGAGTGGAGAGGGAAAGAAAAAATAACTGAAATGATCAGTCGGAGAGAATGCTATTTAATCAACATAATGTGGGCCGGTCACAATCTCAAAGATATTGACAAGGTGATAAAAAGGGCACAAAAATCCTCACCAAATGAGAGATAAAGAGAAGCTGGACAAAATGAATCACTCAATTCTGCATTGCCCTTCCTAGTACCCTACACCAAAGAGAGTAAAGGGTTAATGCCACTTTGCCTGACATTCCTTTGATTTGAAAGTAGTGTGCTCCCACTGAGATTCTTGGGCAACACTGACAGGAAGATAACAACAAGGGAGAAACTGGGGAACAACACAGTTTCATTGTATTGTGAATATTATAAAGTTAAATTATAGTGTGATGTACTTCTGTAACCCGGTTAAAAAAAAAGTAAAGTGGCAATCATTTTTCAGTACAGACTGTAGGAGGCAACTTCAATATCATTATACCTTCAGAGCAGTCCTGGTATCCTGTAGAAGTTGTGTAGGAAATACATTTTTCTCCTTGTACTGTTCAAATAAGTGATTCTGTCGGGCTCGCTTGATAATCTGTGCAAAACAAAAACAAAGGTACTACATTACAAAAGCAGCATAATGGGAGAGGAAGTGAGCACAAAGCAGAGATCTCTGCACAAGAGTCCAGAAAAGAATATATCATCACAATGTTATTGACAAGGACAGGCAAACATATATCTAGCACAATATTATTCCACTGTACTATGGAACCAATCAACACACGTATAATTTGCAACCATACTTACACTATAGTTGAAATTCTAATATTTTTCGGAACAATAAGCTTTAAAATAATTTACTGATAGACATCAGAAAGTCTAGTATATAGACCTGCATATAGAGGGGTATGTAGAGAGTAAGGTGAAGGGCAAATAACTATATCTAATCTCTGCATACACACTTAAGAGGAGACACAAAAACATATGCTAAAGTTCATGAATACAGAGTCTTCAAAGTGACAGAAAAGTTCTCAATTACACAGAAAGCCACTAGAGATTCAAATCAGAAGACAGAAGGTACACATTCGGAGAAGGCAGGCTATTTGCTTCTTTACATTTCATTAATGGATGTGAGCATTTTGATCCTCATCTCCTATCATCTTTGAGAAGGTGGTGTTGAGCTACCTTTTTAGATGTTGCAGTCCATGTGGTATAGGTAGACACACACTTGTTAGGAAGTTCAGGCCTTTGAAAAGTGACAGTGAAGGAATGGAGATATAGTTCCAAGTCAGGATAGTGTATGCTTAGAAGGCAACTTGTCAATGTAGATCTTCAAAATAACAATGAAGAGTTGAAGACTGCCCATTAGCTAATAGCTGAAACAGCACAATAGCCTCCATACTTTCATAGGAACACTGGGAAAACCAGAACAGCTGCATGGCAACAATCCATGTATTCTGCACAGAGTTCAAAGAGAAGTTTCAATCAATCCTTCTCCTACTTAGGGAACCCTACTTCAGACAGCATTAATGATATATCTCAAACAATTCTCAGGCATGTGGAATCCTCCCAACAGTGCTATGTCTTAGAGCTTGGTGCACAGCTTAAATAGAGTCAATCATTTCACTTGATCCAGATCTATTGAATAACCGACACTGCAGAGAAGCAAGCTATTTGATCCAACCAATTCATGCCAGTGCATGTGCTTCTGTCATACTAAGTTAAGATACTGTATTCTTAACTTTTAAGATATGGAATTTATGCAATGTATACGTTTAAAGGCTGACTTTAAAAGTGGACAATGGATCTCAAATTTGACTGCCAAAGGTCAGTTGACCTCCTGTGATTTCTGCACAGAAGGATTATTCACAGGAAGATGGAACTTAGCAGTAAGAGTAGACCATTTGGCCCTTTGAGCATTCTCTTATTTGTCTGCCTATTGATCTGGTTCTAGTCCCACCTTCACTTCTGTGTTTGCACCATAATGCTGGAATCCCTTCTCTACCAAAAATCTATACAATTCAGCTTTCAATAAATTTATAGACCCTGTCTCCACCATCAATAGAGGAACAGAATTGAAATGCTTTGGAATGTACTTCTAAATGGTTTATGAAGAAAGAATATTTTTGCAAAAGAAAAACCTGAAACTTGTTTTGTTCTAGTTGTATATCTGATAATGTATTTGATAAATATAAAGGTTATTACAATTGTATTAAGTAGAATATTCTGCCTGGGGACAAGTTGAACTTTCTTGTAGATTCTGTAAGATTTAAGTCAAAAATGTCTTGCTTTGTATTCTTTTGCTTTTCACAAATTAATGAAGTTTATTTCTAGTAAAAAAAAAATTAGAATCCGTCTGAACGAACAGTCAACCTGCGTTCTGTACCTTGCTTTGTGAAAACAAGTAACTTAATTTTACATTTTTATATCTATTCACTTTATCCTTAACATCTGCTACTATTTAAAGGTAGGAGTATACAGCAAATATACAGGATATAGCAGTTGAAGGAAAATATCTGGCATTTAGTATAGTGCAATGACTGAGCTACACTGCGTAGCAGCCCTGAGCTTTGGTAACACTGGGACAGTGTTGCCCTGTCATGTCATTGTGGATAAAAATCATGGGCTTTGGCAAATTGAGTCAGTCAGAATAATGTGACGGAAAATACTTCATTGGTAAAGGCCAATTAAAAGTTAAAATTAATGTAAATGTTAAACAGCTGATACCAAAATAAGTGTTAATTTATCCTTACCTTGTCATCCACATCTGTGATGTTCATACAGTAGAATACATCATATTTGAAGTAGTTCATTAGAATTCGTCGCAGGATATCGAAGGAGATGTAGGACCTGTGAATGTAAGCATGAAATAGTTTAAAATATTTAGACAGGAAACCACAAATCACAGGCTTTGCTGGTATCAGACATAACATCACCTGGGAGGTTACAACAACAGTCTGGGTAACAGGTTTGAGGATTACTAAAAGATGGCTGCTTTTTTGTTACAAAAAGGCCACTTAACCATTGCAGGCATTGCAAACAAACTTTATCCTTTTCTTCCATAAATATCCATACACACTCCTCTCTTCAGCAGGAGCCACTGGAGAGGAATTAGGAACCCTGGCTGATGGCATCAAAAGCAACTGTAAAATAACTCCATCACAACCTCAGATCAACTAATTCAGTAACTGCACAGAGGCTGAATTAGTGGGTTCATTATTCTGAGTGCTTCAATGCTCAAAAGGTCACATAGTTACCAAGATACCTCAAGATAAATGGCAATGACAGACGACCATGGTGGATTACACAGGCTGTTAATATAACATGATGGCATGCCCTCTTGGGTCACACCTGGTTGGTTAATTTTGTCCTGCACCATGCCAGGATAACAATGGTGGTTATATCAGCAGATGGCTCTAAGAGTTAAAAGATAACATCAGCGTCTTTCTGTGCAAAATTCTATTTACAACGACTAAATGTTTAAACCTGTGCACTGTTTAGTAGAACAGTGAACAGTGATGCAGGAGCCTTTTGGGGAAAAAAAAATACACAATAAAGAATTTCCAATAGCAAGCATCAAAACCAGAACTTGATCCTACCTTCATGAAAGTGCCCACACTAATCGTATTCCAGGAGAAGTCACAGACGAGGATTCAGGAACTGGAATTCTGTCATCTATTACTCCAGCTTATATTACATTTACAGTGGTAGAGCTTATGCAAGAATAAAGAATTAGTTGAAGCAGTAAAATGATTTCTCATGGCAGATTACCTGGCATGTCCCATGTGTGAAGCATCATAAACTGTGGGCCCACAGCAGTACCACAACACACGCTTCCCATTCTGGGGATGAAATATCTCCTGACAGAGACAAATACATGTCGAGATTTAGAAACGTGATTATCGTTGTCAACTATAGTTGGACCAATAAATTAACACAATAAAACTAAATTTCGAGATAGATTAACATATAAAGTTATTCATCTAGACATTAGACATTCCTACTTAACTATTTAAAATGAAACTTACAAACAACTTGAAAGATGTCTCACTGGATAGAGAGGTGCCAATAATTGAATAGAAACAAAATATATAGGAAAGGAATAGAAACAAGGTAGAAGGGAGTTGCTCTCCAAAATGATTCAGAAATGAAAGCCAGGAATATAGATTTTTAGAGAGGTTTTATAGATTAGCAAAGGGCACATCCCAAAAGTGAGCCATGTTGATGCTTTAGCACTGGGGCTCTGATAAAAATGCTTCCAGAGGTTAGAGTGTTAGCATCAATCCGCCAGGTAGCCTAAACAAGCCTGCACTAACAACTTCCAAGGAGTGTTTTAAAACCATTGATATGATACACGAAGAACTACATGCAACCTGCATTTATTTTATGCTTTAGAAGGTGGGCTAAAGTTGCTTGTTGATAATAGTGTTGTACTAGCAAACCGGAGGTCATGTGTTGCCCACCAAGGCAAATAATGTAAAAAAAATGAGGAAATTACTATAAAAATTCATGGTTTATTAAAAATCTAACTCCAGTAGTTTGTTTCAGCGAAGGGAAAGTGCCACCCATACCTGATCTAGAACATTTAGCAGCCTTGCAATATCATCACAGCATCGAAAGTTGGGCATTAAATAACTGCTCAGTTACTACCAAACTAATAAGATTTTTTCTTTTAATTAAGAAAGGTCAGAGTTTCTTCGAAGTTTGTCCATTCACTTTAAAATTGGATTAGTGGCTGAGTTGATATCCTAAAAAGAATGGAGTGTACTGATGCACGTGTCATGACTGGATGCAGAAAGGTGGCAGCTCTCACCAGCAGATCACAACAATTTAAAAAAAAAATCAAGAATAGAGGTGTTCAAAATCATGATGAGTCTCACAAGGGTGGAAAGGGAGAAATTGGTTCCATTGGTGGAAAGTTCAAGAACCAGAGGAGATTGACATAAAATGACTGGCAAAAGGTCCAATGACGATATGAAGGAAAACTCTTTTTAAAGTAGCGAGCGGTTAGGACCTGGAAAGCACTGCCTAAGCTTTGAATTCAATTACAGCTTTGAAAAAGGAATTGGATAATTACAGAGAGGAAAAAACATTTCAGGGCAGGAGAGTGTAAACTTACTAAGTTGCCCTAGCAGAGAACCAACAGGGGACCCTTTTCTAGGGTTGACAAGAGCTGAAATCAAAGAGGTACAAAAATCTTTGGACAAAACAAAATGTAATTTTAGCACTTTTTAAATGATCTGCAGTGAAATGTAAATTCTTTTAGGTAATTTCCAAAGGCTGGTATTATTAGTCTTCAAGTGGGCAGAATTAGTATTTCCTTTGTTTACCTCATATTGCCATCATACTGTGGACAAATTTATGGTATAACAGCAGCAAAGTGGAGTTAGTGCAAGTAAGATCAAGTCCAGAGCAGGACAGAATATCAGCTTGCTAGATTCTGTGAGAGAAGCAAAGCAAAGGATTATGGGAGTGCCTCACACACTATTTTCCAATGTGACTACATTTCAGATCACCACTTAACAGCAATTAGGAAAGGGCAACAATGGCTGGACTTGCCAATGATGTCCATGTTCCATGGACAACTAGAAGAAAACTCTTGAAACTTATGTGACCAGAGAAGCCAGCAAGAATAAAAGAGCAACAAAGCATCATAGCAAAATTTGGTGTATTAACGTTCATATATTATGGATCAACATTAAATAATGCATTGCATTCTTATAAAAATCCCTCCAGTCATTTTAAAAATACTCTGTAAAAACTTATTTTATGCACTCAGTGCAGCCCCACTCACTCAAACTTCTCCTCATCCTTCTCCACCCTCCGTTCCTCCTGGATTTCTGCAGCATGCCCAGATGTGGGCAAGCTGGTGAGAAAGCACCGCTAAGAACCTCAGGTGCCGTCTCTGCACTCAGCCTCTGGGCCGTGTAAAGCTGTCAATTCCTCCCACCACACCCCCACCTTCCCCTGCTCCATTCCTTATCCAGCAACTCTCACAATAGAGATGGCACAAAGAAAACAGCCAACCACAGGTAGGGTGCTTTGAAGGCTGGACAGGGGCACAGCAGCTATTGGGAGTGCAGCCTCTGCTACTCCCTATCACAGTAGTCAGAATGGCAGCTGATTCAACAGTGAAGGGTAGAGCAGTCACATCCCTGAGCCAGATGGAGGATGGGAAAAGGATTTAAAGGGTGGAATTGAAGTAGTCTGTGGGAATTTCTCATCTCTGATTCTACACTGTAACCATTCTATGGTTATTTCTTATGTCAGACTGTTCTAAAGCACTTCATCAGGAAAAAAATTATTCTGCATTGTAATACAGTCCTCTGCATCATTAACACTGACCTTTCTACGTGTCAAACTGTTATACAGTTGTAGCTCAGGCTGTTTCACTTTTGATGGTGGCGCCCATGGTGGTTGGGTTCTTTTTGCTTTAGCTGGAAGAAACAAGACAGTAAAGGGTCCCATATAGCAAGTCTATATTAGCTGTATTGTGATCGGTCAGAGTCTAATTTTCAAAACTGCTTGTCAGAAACAAAATTAAGTCCTGACTTTCCAACCAATATTCCTATCATGTGAACAAAGGTATGATGATGAACAGAAGTTGTTTAGTTGTCATTTATAAAGTAACTCATTATGAACACATATTACAATCATCCAATTATCACACCCTTTCATGTAAAACTATCTGGCTAGGATCGAACTGAATATCAGAGTGAATTCAATGTGCTGAAAGACCTACTTCTGTTCCTACATCATATGGCCAAATGATCTTCATCCAGAAGTGCTGAGCGGGCAATCCATTTTGGCCCCCTCCTGAGATCTCCACTACCACAAATATCAGACTTCAGGCAATTCATATAAAAATGTGATTACTGAAATGGCTGAGCTTATTCAAAATAACAAAGATTATTAGCTTGACATTAGCATCTAAGACTTGCATTCCCAAACTAACCATGCTTCGAAGCTTTTCCAGTACAGACAGCTAAAGCAACAACAACTAACCAAGATTTCTACAATATGTACAAGTGCAGTAGGCGCAAGACTCCAAGCTCCCCTACTAGTTAAACACCATTCTGATTTTGACATAAATCAGAGTTTTTGCTTCATTGTTGGGTCAAAATCCTGGAACTCCCTAACAGAAACACGGGGGTTTTTCTCACCACTTGGACTGCATGGCACAGTTCAAGGAGGCAACTCACTTTTTCAAAAGAATTAAGGAACGGCAATAAACACTTGTTTGCCACCAGGGTCCATCTCTAGAGAATTTTTTTTTAAAAAATAAAGTCTTAAAATGCAATGCTTTAGAAAATCATGGCAACAATTCAGCATGCACATACTGTCTGTGGTTGCCCAGATGCTCCCTGTGAACACCCATCCAGATGCTCACTACTCACATGTGTGGAGTTCACAGGTCTTGGCATCATCTTGGGTGCAGTCCCAAATTGCTGCAATGTGCCTGTACCATCGCACCACATGGAAGTATTGATCAAGAGGTGGTTTCGGAAGTGACCGGAATACTTCCACGTCAGCTTGTGAGAATGTGAAGCCACCGATATAACTCCGCCCAGCAAGGTGATCATTCAAAGCCTTCATTCTACTTTCAGTGGATAAACCAAGGAACTTGCTGTACTGGGAAGCTGCAAAACATAACGTGGAGACGTACGTAACTTCAGAACCAAAAAGGTTCTGTCCGTTTAAAGATATACGCATTTCACGTTTCCAGCCTCCAGTTATCAACCTCTTTTCCTGGGTTAGCACCAAATTGCTCCAACAGACCAGCAGCATGTTGGTCCCATATCTATCCTGACAGCATATTTCAATTCATTTTGGGAGCGCTCAGCATTTAGAACTCCAGTTTGCGCTTGCAGAAGTTCAAGATTTACAAAAAGAGTCACAGATTTTGGGGGAAAATGTAATTTGCCAATCAAAAAGAAAGTGGCATCAATGGGTTTGTAATATACAACAGACTTGACACACACTAACAAACTTATGGGAGATATAGAGTTCTTTGTGAATCACAATTCCAATTTTGTCTTGTCCAGGTTTTCTGTTTTCCTTCTCTTGCATTTCCCCCAGTATTCCCATGGCAAGTCGATTGGCTTTCCTAATCTAAATGATGTCAGACACACCAACTGTCAATGCCCCATTGAAATAGCTTGTTAATCAACATATGAATAGCCTAGCCCGTAATTTCAGGTTCTTTAAGCACCTTAATGGTACAAGTTTAGTGTCAGCTCCTGGTAAAATAAAACAAAGTGATAAAAATGATCAGCTGGTTTGTTCGTATCTATAGACGGAGAAACAGATGGAACAGTCATTGATCATTTCGTTTTTGGTTTGCACCAACATAACATTTCACAGGGCAATTTGTGTAGGCGTATTTCTGCTCAGCCATCATAACATTTGTGCAATAATCTCCATTAACCTCAGAAAAAGAGTAAAAGCAGCATTTTTCTCATTCTTCCGTGGTTCTACCGTCCAAGCTACAGCAGGAAAAGCCAAGAGTTCCTGCAGAAATTCACCCCCATATACAGTAAATCTGAGGTTATTTCCTGGTTTGACTCGAGCAAATTGGTGCCAAGACCTCCCTCTGGATTCACACTGCATTTAAAAGTCATTTTCTGATTGGCAAGATGTAATAAACCATGTGCCACAGGGTTAAATGCTAATGGTATCAAGTTTTTGCAACTGATATGATTAACTTCACTGAAGGGATTGACAGTACAATTGCTAGACTTGATGACTCAAAGGTAGTTAGTTAGGTAGTTGTGAAGAGGACATAAGGAAACTACAAAATGGATATAGATACATTGATGGGGAAAGATCTGGCAAAAGGAGTATATTTTGAGAAAATGTGAAATTGCCCATTTTGGCAGGAAGAATAAAAAATGAATCATACTATCTACATGTGAGAGATTGCAGAGCTTGGAGATGCACAGAGATCTGGGTGCTCCAATGCATGAATCACAAAGTAATTTTAGGAAAGCTAATATTATCATTTAAAGGGGAATTGAACACAAAAGTAGGGAAGTTACCCTTCAGTTATAAAGGGTACCGGTTAGACTACATCAGGATTAATGTTTACAGAATTGGTCACCTTATTTAAGGAATGACGTAAATGCACTGGAAACAGTTTAGAGAAGATTTGCCAGACTAACATGTAATAGTGTCTTATGAGAAAACATTAGACAGGCTGGGCTTGTACCAACTGGAGGTTCAAAAAGTTAGAAGGGATTTGAAAAACTATACAAGATTCTGACCTGGCAACTATCAACTTCACTAGATATAACAATTTTAAGACAGTGGTTTAAAAGAAAGTGTTTAAAAGTCAGGAATAATTCAGTTAATCACACCACACTACATTATAACTTTAACTTTAATTTTCCAAACAATAAGGGCAGAAGAATATAAGAACAGGAGTTAGAGTAAGCCATTCTGTTGCTTCAAACATGCTCCATCATTCAATATTCTCATGATCTTCTACTTCAACTACAGTTTCTAATATAATCCACATATGCCCTAATTCTCTTGGCACCCAAAATCAAAAATCTATCAACCTACACGTACTCAACGATTGAGCGTTCACTGTTCTCTGGAATGCAGAATTCCAAAGATCCGCACACACTTAAGTGGTAAAATTCTCCGTCAAATCAATCCAAAATGGATGACCCCTAATTCCAACTGTGTGGAGGGAACAGTTCCATTTTATTTATTCAATCAAGTGCTTATGGATTTCTATTTCAATTAGATAGCCTCACATTCTTCTAAATGACAGGGAATACAGGCATAATCTGCTAAATCCCTTCACACAGGGTAACCCTCATCTCAAAGCAAGCACTGTGCAAAGAAAGTTCACAATCTGTGGCAAGTGCTACCTTTATTTAAGGAAGGACACATAACCTGCATACACAAGTATAGTCTCACCTATACCCTGTACAAGTGCGTTGAGACTTCTTTACTTTTATAAGCTAATACCATGAAGCAGAAGCTACCGCAGCATTTGCCTTCCCAATTGCTTGCTGTCCTGCATCTTCACTTCCTATACCTCTTGTACAGGTTCCCTTGAATGTAAACATATTCAAATCTCCCACCAGTAATTTTTTTTCCCCATTTTCCAAGCAAAGTACCTAACCTTAAACTTCAGCACAGTTTACATGACTCACGTGGATTCCTGCCAGAGGTTGGTCAATATTTAATCTAATGGATGGCACCATTCACCTTCATAGTTTGCCACCGCAAGCCAAAGTGAAAGAGAAACTGGGTTCAATGCATGAAGTGTAGGTATTAAAAGTTCTGATTCCATTGACTGAATGATAAATGTATTCCCAATCCCTCAATTAAATGTCACTAACATCAAATACCACTTTGGGTATGGCGGTATTGCGGTTATCCTAGATTTTGTGATAAATAGTGAACTTGAATTTATTAACAACCTGACTGAGGAAATATCTTATAATTAACATCCATAATATGACAGTTTTGACATCCATATTGAAACACAGAAGTAAATGTCACAAACCCAAGGTTTCGCATTTAAGTTACACAAACTCTGAAGGAATAACCTGGTAGACGAATCATGGGCAGACAATATAGGCTCAATGCTACAGATATGACGGGAGTACAGGAACTGAGGGAGGTTGGAGTTCACGTACGTAATACTCTGAAAGTGGTCAGGCAATCTGAAACAGTTGTTAAGGCAGCTTACAGAATCCTTGGGTTTATAAATAGAGGCACAGAGTATAAAAGCAAGGAAGTGATGCTACACCTCTACAAAGAATTGGTCAGACCACATTTGGATCATCGTGTTTAGTTCTGGAGGATTTAATGAAGGATGTCAAGGCCATGGAGACAGTTCAAAGGAGATTTACTGGAATGATACCAGGAATGAGGGACCTTAGATACAAGGAAAGATTAGAGAAATTCAGCTTATTCTCCTCGTGAGGTGACCTTATTAAAGCTGTTCAAAATTATGAACAATTCTGACAGGGTAAAGAATGATATTCTGTTTCCACTGGTTGATATGTCAGTAACTGGGGGCGGGGGTCACTAGTTCAAGACAGTCAGCGAGAAGAGTGAGATGAGGAAAAACTTCTTCTCTCAGAAAGTTGTTAGGATTTGGAATGCGATGCCTGAGAGAGTGATGGAGATGGATTTCATAGGAGGTTTCAAAAGAAGAGCTTGATGTACATTTGGAGATAGCATGAACTGCAGATGCCGGAGTCAGAGATAACACAGTGTGGAGCTGGAGGAACACAGCAGGCCAGGCAGCATCAGAGGAGCAGGGAAGTTGACGTTTCGGCTCGGGACCTTTCTTCAGAAATATACATTTGAAAGTGTATAACTTAGGAGACAATGGAGATAATGGTAGAGAATGGGACTAGCTAGGTAGTTCTTTCCGGATTTGGTACAGACATGTTGGGCCAAATGGCCTCCTTCTGTACAGTAAAATTCTATGATTCAGTAACCTGGGTTAAACTGATAGTGGATAAACTCTGGATTAACAACAGAAGGTATTCAAAGGTGTTTTGCTCGACATAAAACTCTTAAAAGGCAAAAGCCCTAATGATGCAGATAAGCAACCATAATCAAACATATTAGGATGTTAAGTTAAAGTAAAAACTTATGCATAAATTGCCATGGTCACGATCTGCCAGTTATTTCATTGACCAGAATAGTAATTCATCATTTAATATGAGATTAGCCTATCTGAAACTATACTTGACAACATCTAATTACAAAGTGGGAATCAACTGGAGCCAGTTAGAGTCAGAACTTGTAATAACAAAAATAGAATCCATACAGTGTTCGTAAACATGGGACAATGGAGATAAGAGGCCACAGCGACTCACCCCTCCCTACTCTGTAACATGACATTTAACATGGCTAACCCACCTAATCTACACATCCCTGAACACTAGGAGGCAATTTAGCATAGCCAATCCACCTAACCTGCACATCCTTGGACACTATGGGGCAATTTAGCATAGCAAACCCACCCCAACCTGCACATCCTTGGACATTACTGGGCAATTTAGCATGCCAACCCACCCTAACCTGCACAACCTCGGACACTATGGGGCAATTTAGCATGGCCAACCCACCCTAACCTCGGACACTATGGGGCAATTTAGCATGGCCAACCCACCCCAACCTGCACATCCTTGGACACTATGGGGCAATTTAGCACGGCCAACCCACCCTAACCTGCACATCCTTGGACTGAGGGAGGAAACCAGAGTCTCCAGAGGAAACCCACGCAGACAATTGCCCGAGGGTGGAATCAAACCCGGGTGCTAACCCACTTCAACCCATTTTCCCTTTCACTTTGGAGCCTGGGGCCGCAAGATATGAAAGTGCACAGTGCGGGCTGGGTTTTAGACTAAACGGTACCCAGCCTGAGAAGCAACTATCTTGAAGAAGCCGACTCAGGGGCTTCACACAGACTGAGAGGAAGCCGCTGAGAGAAATCATTCCCTGGGCCTGAATGCTGTTAAGTGCCCCCCGGTTTACTCACTCTCACCGGCCTCCATTCTGATGCTGATGCAAGAGGCAGGAGAGGACCGGAACTTACGTTATTACCCGCCGCCACACGTCACCATAGAAACCCGTCAAGCATGACCCACACCCCCAGCCCCCTATTGGCCGCCCAGGGGAAAACGTCACCGATGGCGCCCGGTAACTGTGCGACCGCTGCTTCTAGAGCGATAGTGTCGTAAAGAAAACAGGGGTCCAGCTCCCGCTGGGCGTGTGGAGGATATTCAGAGTTAACGTTTCTTCAGGACTAATGGTAGTTAGGAGGGTAAGGAGTAAACGATAGGTGGGGGGATAGAGCCCAAAGAGAGAAGAACAGTGGGACTGTTAGTGGCTAACAATGGGTAGTGTGGAGTGGCAGGCTGTGTGATGACAAGGCCTGGTGTGTGGGGTAGGGGGCTGGGACATGGGAGAGTTCAGGCCCTAAAATTTTTGAAATCGATATTAAGTTCAGAGGGTCCCCAAGTGGAAAATGAGGTGTTGTTCTTCCAGCTTGCATTGAGCTTCACTGGAACACAAGCCAGAGAGAGAGAGATCGTAGAATCATAGAATCCCTACAGTGTGGAAACAGGCCCTTCGGCCCAACAACTCCACACCGACCCTCAGAGCATCCCACCCAGACCCATCCCCCTATAAGCCACCTAATCTACACATCCTTGAACGCTACGGGCAATTTAGCATAGCTAATCCACCTAGCCTGCACGTCTTTGGACTGTGGGAGGAAACCGGAGTAAAGCCACGCAGACATGGGGAGAACATGTAAACTCCACACAGACAGTTGCCCAAGAGTGGTTTCAAACCTGGGACCTTGGCGCTGTGAGGCAGCAGTGCTAACCACTGTGCCACCGTGCTGCCCTAATGTTGGCCAGGTATCGGGGTGGTGTGTCAAAATGGCAGGCAACTGGAACCAGTGTCTTTCTTGCGAGCAGAATGTAGTTGTCACCCAGTCTACGCTTCGTTTCCCCAACGGAGAGGAGACCACATTGTGAGCAACGAATCGAGTAGACTAGATTGTGGGAAGTGCAGGTAAAGTGCTGCATCACCTGGAAGGTATGTTTGGGCTCTCGGATACTGGGGAGGGAGGATGTAAATGGGCAGGTGTTACACCTTCACCGGTTGCAACAGAAGGTGCTGTGAGACTATGGGGGCAGGGAGTGGTGGTGTTGTTGGGAGGGAAGGAAAATGGACCAGGGTGTCCCAGAGGGAACAGTCCTTGTGGAAGGCTGAGAAGTGAGGGGAGGGGAAATGTCTGTCTGGTGGTTGCATCTCACTGGATGTGGCAGAAACGGTGGCCAATGATCCTCTGGATGCGGATGCTGGTGGGATGGTGGGTGAGGACAAGGGGTCCCTATCCCTGTTGTGGGAGCGAAGAGATGGAGTGAGGGCTGAAGTGCGAGAAATGGGTCAGACCCGGCTGAGGGCCCTGTCAACTATGGAGCTGGGGATATATCAAGAACTGCAGATGCTGGAGTCGGAGTCAATACAGTGTGGAGCTGGAGGAACATAGCAGGTCAGGCAGCATCAGAGGAGCAGGAAAGTCAACATTTCGGGTTTACACCCTTCATCTGCTGTGCTCCTCCAGCTCTACACAGTATTGGCGCTGGGAAGTCCTCGATTGAGGAAGAAGGTGGACAGTTCAGGGGCTCCTTGTCGAAGTTGGCATTGTGAGAATAAATGAGACTGAGGAACTGAGGAACTGGGAGAATGGAATAGAGTCTTTACAGGAAGAGGGGTGTGATGGTGTATGGTCAAGGTAATTGTGGGAGTAGGTGTCAAAAGTCTCACGGTCAGCGCGAAGTCAGTGCAGTGGCTGCATCTGGATAGTTTAATCAGCCAAGCTCGTGAGGTGGTCTCTTGTTAAGCTGGTAGGTTTATATATAGAAAGGGCTAGGGTTTAGTGTTCGGAGTACAATTTTAATTCATAATTGTAGTAACACTAGGGAAAAATAATAACTGACTTAAGGCGTTGAAATGGGAAGAACCAAGACAAGTGAAATTTAGTACACGGAATATATTTTGATTGGAAAAGATCAGTAGACAATATGATCTAAACAGTACAGTTTGAAAGGATGTGCAGAAGTAGAGGAACCTTAGTGTGTACGGACATAAATCTGTGAAGATAGTGAGAAAACTTCGGAAGAGGCTAGTTTGGAATAGTCAAGTCTAGATGTAACTGAGAATTTCAACATCCTATAAGCTCAAGCAAAATTAAAAACAAGCTAGGTAACAGGTGGCAGTAGCTGGTCTCTAATATTTTAACGAAGATCTGTAGCTTGGGTTGCAGTTTGAGTTTTTGGTTGGTTCACTGAGCTGACTGATTTTCACACAAATGTTTTGTTTCCTTTCTCGGTGTCATCACCAGTGCTGTGTAGCCTCCGTTGACGTGTTATTGTTCGGTCCCGCTCTGAATTTATATGGTCCAGTCTGTCATGGGGGGCAGTCTTGTTTCCAGTTTTGTACCGTAGTGGTATGTAGATGGGGTCTATTTCAACATGTTTGTTAATAGTATCGGTGGTTGAAAACCAGGCCTCCAGGAGTTCTCGTGCTTGTCTTTGTTTTGCTTGTCCTTGTACTGTAAATTTGACCCAGTCTATGTCGGAGTGTATTGAAACGAGGGAAAGTTGGGTCGTGCCATTTTGCTGCGAGTTGGTGTTCGTGTATCCTGGTGGCGAGTTTCCTGCCTGTCTATCCTATGTAGTGTTTCTCGCAGTTGCTGCGTGGTATTTTACAGCCGTATGCAGCAACTGTGAGAAACACTACTAGGACAGACGGCAGAAACTCACCACCAGGATACACGAACACCAACTCGCAGCAAAACGGCACAACTAACTTTCCCTCATTTCAATACACTCCACCATGGAAGGACATCAGTTTAACTGGGACAAAGTTACAGCACTGGGATAAGTGAGACAAACATGAGAATTCCTGGAGGCCTGGTTTTCAACCACCAACGCAATTAACAAACATGTTGAAATAGACCCCATGTGCATACCACTACGGTACAAAACCAGAAGCAAGACTGCTCACTGTGAGAGAACAGGACAGAACAACAGTGCTTCAACGGATGCTGACATCACTGACGATGTCACCTAGAAGGGAGACGAAACGTTTGCATGAAAACCAATCAGCTCGGCGAACCAACCAAAACCCCGGTAGCAGGTCTTATTAAAGGAGTTGATTTTTAGGTAGGAAGCTCAGCTCAGAGTCAATTTGGAGGCTGGGCAATGTTCAGCCTCAGCAGTTATATGTGTCTATCCCTCAACCCTAACTGCTGAGGCTGAACATTGCCGAGTCTCCAGATTGATTCTGAGCTGTGGAATTGTGTTTGTGGTGTGGATTGAAAGCAGTGATAGCAGTTTTGCTGATGTTACAAGAGATTTCTGCTCATTTAGTACTGGTTGTCAGGCAAACAACATGCCTAATCAGAAGCAAAGGAAGCATCAAGAGAGGGGCAGGGCCGAGAGTCAACATGTACATCTTGAGCCTATAGACCTGTTAATTTTCTGCCATCCAATATTTATGCAAAACCTATTTGAATATTACTACTGAAGTAGAAGCAGAACAAGTCAGTCTGCTTCTGACATTGTCGTGCATGCATTCCAGATCACAGCAACTTGCTGTGCAGAAAAATATCTTGTCATGGCACCTCTGGTTAATGTCACAAAAACAAGTTCCTGGAGAAACATAGCAGAATTAAAATTTTGAGTTGGGTGACCCTTCTTTAGAGCTGATAATGGCTGCGAAAGGGTAGTCCAAATGCTGAAGATGTGGCAGGTATGGTCTGAAAAAGAGGGGAGGCAGATAGGCGAAGACAGAGCCCAGAGACAGAGAAAGACAATACAAAAAACAAGGGCGGCAAAGTGGCTCAGTGGTTAGCACTGCTGCCTCACAGCGCCAGGGACCTGGGTTCGATTCCGGCTTCAGGCAACTGTCTGTGTGGAATTTGCATGTTCTTCACATGTCTATGTGGGTTTCCTCTGGGTGCTCCAGTTTCCTCCCACAGTCCAAAGATGTGCAGGCTAGGTGGATTGCCCATGCTAAATTGCTTCATTATGTCCAGGATTATGCAGGCTAAGTGAATTATCCATGGTAAATGCAGGATTATGGCAATAGGGTGATGGGGTAGGTCTGGTTGGGATGCTCTTTGGATGGTCACTGAGCTGAATGGCCCCTATCTGCATTGTAGGCATTCTATGATTCTAAGAATATTTTTTAAAAATGGTATCATGGGCTTTATTGGTAAACGAATAGACTACAACAACAAAAGCCTAATAAAATGTGAAAAAACACTGTATAGATGTCAGCAGGAGGTCAGTACTGGGCTCCATACTTGAGGAAGGATTTCTAAACTATTGAGAACGCAGAGATATTTACAAGCAGGAGTACCAGGCTGTTGTGTCTCCAGTTACATGGAGAGACTGGAGTTATTCTTGTAACCAAGGCTATTATTATGTTATAATTTTGATAGACTATATAAGGGAAAACTTGTTTCCAGTGGCAGAAGGCTTGATAGCGGAGGACATAAATTTAACTAAAACAACTAACAGTGCTTTTCGAAAATCTGAAACAAGAACAGCAATTGCTTAAGAAATTCAACAGGTCTGGCAGCAACTGTGCAGACCATGCAGAGTTAATGTTTACAGTCCGGCGACCCTTCTTCAGAACTGATAATAGCTAGGGAAACATGGTACTTGTGCTGAAGACTGGGGTGGAGGGGAAGAAACTTGGAGGCAGAGAGGTGGAGACAGAGCCCAGAAAGAGAAAAAGACAGTTAGACAAAGGAATGAATAATGGTAAGCCAGGGAAAGAGAGAAGCTGATAATGGGGACCATAAGTAGGTGAAAATGAGTCGTACAGCATGGAAACAGACCCTGTGGTTCAACTCATCTGCACTGACTAGACATCCCAATCTAACCTAGTTTCATTCGCCAGAATATGGCATATCCCTCTAAACCCTTCCTAATCATGTACCCATCCAGATGCCTTTTAAATTTGGTAATTATACCCACCTCCACCACATCCTC